TTCATGTGTCTCCCAGGTCTGTCGCTACTGGTGTCCGCCCTTTTCCGTTGGCCATGTAGCATTTCTTTTCATTCCGCAAAGAGTTTACTGTTAGGGGTTCTCAATTCTCTCTCCGCTGGCCATGCAGCGTTTCAATTCATCTCCCAGGTTCGGCGCCTGCTGCTGGTGTGCGCCCTTTTCCGCTGGCCATGCAGTATTTCTATTCACTCGTCTCCCGGGGGATTTTTGTACTTCGCCAAACAGGTTACTGTTAGGGGTCTCAAGGCTTTCTGCCTTGCGTGTCCGCCTTCCGTCCGGCTTGTCTCCCTTTGTCTCCCTTCTTGTTGGTCACTGTGCCTGCCTTGTCTCCCTTCTGTTTCCCTTTGTCTCCGGTCTTGTCTCCCTTCTTGTTGGTCACTGTCCGTCTTGTCTCCCTTCTGTTTCCTTTTGTCTCCCTTCTTGTCTCCCTGACTTGGGAATGCTTCGTTGTTGTCCCACCTGTTTGGGGTCTACGGTGCTGTAATTTCGGACACTGCCAAGCCGAGCTGGCCTACCTCACTACCTTACCTGCAAGTTGGCTGAGCGCATATCTTCTTCGGCACATCACCCGGCCCATTACCTGGCCCTTGTCGCCCTCGCCGCTGGCCAGTCCAATCCCTTGAACGTCTGGAAGCTGGATACCTTTGACAGTCCATCATCCTCTGGAGCCAAGGACTGAGGAAGAGACTAGTGGAGTTGGAGGCCATCGCTAGTAGGTTGGAGGCCATCGCTAGTAGATTGGACGCCATCGCTATATTAGGCTGGAGGCCATTGCTCTTAGGTTGGAGGCCATCGCTAGTAGGTCGGTTGGAGGCCATCACTAGTAGGTTGGAGGCCATCGGGGGCTGAACTGCGGCCAATTTCTGGGTCACAGGCATTCAAACGCTTGTTGAAGCAACCGTGCAGCCACATGTGTTATTCATTTGCCAGCATCTTTGAGTGAGTCAAGGAACCATGAATCCGAAGCGTGCTCTGAGGTTCTCCCCACCTTCCGCGATTCCATCACACTGTGAAGAGCCCAGTGGCAGCGATCACGGGCAGAAGCCACCCGGCCCGTCGTCTTAATCTAGTGCACCTGGTAGCAGTGAAATGTTCAATCAATAGATCTGAGTTTTGGACAATTCTTCAACATCTGTGGACATCTATGATTAGGGCTTTTGTTCATGGCGATTTGGAACTGCTGTGGGAGAAGCCTGCTGGGAACAGAGTCTGAGGCCCGGCTATCCCATCTACAACAAGGCCAGACAGTGGGTGGTGCGGAACCAGGACTGCTCCTGCAAGAAGAATTCAGCATGATGTAGATTATAGACTTGTAGATACGCCTTGGATAGAATTGACCACGTCAGAATCAGTTACTGTATCGGGAATGTTTTGACCTCCGTGTGTCCGTGTTTTGGGCCGCTCTGGACTATGCCTTTGGCCAACTGCTCCAGGATCCCATCACTGGTGTCTCATACCGGAATGGGCCCGGAATCCCAGCGGAGCTGAAGGCGACAAAAGGAGCGATGTTCAGCCTTTGAAGCGCGAGCTTTTTCAGAAACTTGGATGTGCGTGAGAGGCCCTGACTATCCCTGAGTATTATAGTTGGGAACTTCTTGATATCCAAAGAAAGCTTGAAGGAAAAGAACCACACAAGTGTCAATGACTGAGCGACTGAGCTTCCTGACTACAATATGATGGAATTTGTTCGGCGTGAAGTGTGAAGTGCTGGGAGTTCATTGTGTCGTTGTGGGAATCGCATATTGTCATATTGTCATGGAAACACCTCACTTCCGGCCTTCAAGGGGCATCAGGCAGTGTTACTTCCTGCCATTGTATCAGATGTGTCATCTTTTTTCACGCTTCAGCCGCATGTTTCTTCTCGAATGATCTGATCGTCTGATCTGAGGCTGTCTCAGATCCCCGGACTCTTCATCCAACTGCAGCTCCCAACAAAGCTTATTCTAGGAGATGTGGCAGCCTTGGAGCTGCGGATTGCAGGAAAACGATGAGACAACACCGCGAAGAAGCGGTTGACCTGTCAATCAGTGCGTAACCACTTTTGCAATATACAACATCGTGACTCTAATCCAATCTAGTACAGTACAGTAATGTACTGTACAGTAAGCGTTTTTTGGATTTTGTTGCTACAAGCGGCCAGTCATACTGCAGATTGCACTTGTGGTTGTAAAGGATTTCTTTCCTTGTGATATGCTTCAATCTTGTTTGTCCGTTGGAACCATGGCCCAGAAGTGCACACGCCCACTGATATGAACCCCTTCACTATGCTTTCGAAGAGACTCGCACGGTCAACATTCAGAAAGTTTTCCACCTCCTCTGAAGGAAGCTATGACTACATCATTGTTGGCGCAGGGTCAGCCGGTGCCACAATTGCGCATCGATTGGTGAAAGATGCAGGAGCTCGTGTGTTGCTCATTGAAAATGGCAGTAGTCACTACGGCCGCTGGGACTGGTGGAAGATCAATATGCCAGCAGCACTCACCTATAACTTGGCAGATGCCAAGTACAACTGGGACTTCTACACAGTCCCTCAGCGCCACATGGATGGAAGACGTTTGCATCAGCCCCGTGGTCGGGCTTTAGGGGGCTCTTCAAGTCTGAATGCCATGGCCTATGTACGAGGTCATGCGCTGGACTATGAGCGTTGGGCCAAGGAAATTGGAGAGGGCGGTGAAGCCTGGTCGTACCGGAGCATTTTGCCATACTACCGCAAGGCTCAGACTCACCAAGAGGGTGAGTCAACCTATCGTGGAGGCTCTGGTCCATTGGCTGTGACCCGCCGCAGATCTCGTGCAGTTCAAGCCATCAATGATGCCTTTGTCCGTGCTGGTGAGGAGGCTGGCTATCCCAGGACAGCGGACATGAATGGGTTTCAACAGGAGGGTTTTGGAGCTATGGACATGACAGTCACGCCTGATGGCAAAAGGGCCAGCACCTGGGAGTGCTACTTAAAGCCCCTGGTGCATCCAAAGTCCCCAGAGGAGGAAGCTGCGGGAAAGCGGTTGAAGTTGATCACCAATGAGATGGCCGTCCGACTGCTTTTCGACAAGACGAAGGTGGTCGGGGTAGAAACCATTCCAGCACCCACTCCAAAGAAAGGTGGGGGCTTTCACAGCGAGACCTCAGGCAGAACCGAAAAGCACTTCGCCAAGACTGAAGTGATTTTGAGTGCAGGTGCTGTTGGATCACCGCAGTTGCTGATGATGAGTGGCATTGGAAATGCAAAGGACTTGGAAAGCCTTGGAGTGCCTGTCCTTCTGGACCAGCCATCCGTAGGTGCCAATTTGCAAGACCATCTGGAGTTCTACGTGCAGTACCTAAGCAAGCTGCCCTGTTCCTTATACCCATGGGCCGCCACATTCCCTGGTCTTGGTTTGCTTTCCAAATACGCCTACAGACAGCCGTGGCGAGCCATACACTCCGGAATTCTTTGGATGTTGGCAGGTCGTGGCATGGGATCTTCGAACCACTTTGAAGTGGGAGGATTCATTCGATCGCGTGAAGGCATGCTTCATCCGGACCTTCAGTTTCACTTCATTCCTGGCATTGTGACCGGTCAGCTCGACTTTTTGCCGGAACATGGCTACCAGGCTCATTGCGGAACTATGCGGCCAACTAGTCGTGGCACTGTCCAGCTTGCCACATCCAATATCTTGGACGCTCCGCTGATCGATCCAAACTTTCTGGCTACAGAGGAAGATCGAATTGACATGCGAGCTGGCTTGCGTTTGAGCATAGAAATAATGGAGCAGAAGGCTTTGGAAGAGTTCAAAAAAGAAAGGCATGCTCCACTGGAAAATATAAATTTGGACAGTGATGAGGAAGTAGATGCCTGGATTCGTTCATCTAGTCATTCGGGCTATCATCTCTCGTGCACATGTGCCATGGGAAAGGTTGTTGATGCAGAGGGCCGGGTGAAGGGATTGGAGAACCTGCGAATTGCAGATGCATCCATCATGCCCTCCATGACGAGTGGGAACCTCAATGCGCCAACCATCATGATGGCGGAGCTGATTGCAGACAGGATCCGTGGAGAAACTCCTCTTCCTCCTGAGGATGCTGCTTGGTATCAACCGCCTGATTGGCAGACGTCGCAGCGGTGATTTTCTCAGCACATGGCGCAACACAGAAGTACCGATAGTGTCTAACTGCTTCACGAAGCACCTGGGAGAGATGCATATGGCTGACAGTGTACAGGGCTCCATGCAAACAGTATGTATTGGCATTCTCGTAGTGCCAGAATCTTTTGCGAAGATCAAGGGGTCTTCCAGATATCCCAAAGGGGACTGCCGACAATCCATCATGCATAGACTTGCATCGCCTTTGCTGCCTGGTGGCTTCACCAATTGGAGCTGAAAGCGAGTCAGTCTTTAAACAACTGCAAGGCCTGAGGCTTGAGCATTGGACTCTGCACGTAGACGACGTAGTCAATTGGTCTAGTCGACTCTTTGCTTTTGTCCCTACATTCTGCACTTCTAGTCCAGTGGTGAACCATCGCACGTGTCTCCGCTGTTAAGGTGATCTCCATCCAGGCACCTGAAGGCTTTCAGTTCAATGATGTGCTGCGCTTAGGAGCCTCTTATTTTGGTGTCTGAATGTTGCATTCTTGGCTGGCTTGGCTGGCCCTCCAAGCACAAGCACCTCATGTGGAGACTTGGAGTTTGTCATGTGGTCGTTCTTTCGCCCACAGTGATTCCCCACTTTAATGAATCCCTACAGCTTCTATATATAGCCCTTCCATGCCCTTCCATTAGAATTCCACTCTTGTCCTTTCAGTGGTAGAAAATGAGAGCGGGGGACTGTGAGAGTGCAGTTTTTTAAAAAGTGTTTGGTATCATTTGATGCTCAAGATATGCAAAGATGCTTGTTTTCACTCCAGGGCAGAAGATACCACTCTACTCTAACATGGGGCCTGGGTTTTGGTTTTCCCAAAATTTTAGGCAAATGCTTCAGTGGTAGCCCCTCTCCATATAAACACATATATATAATCTATTCCTGCTCTCTCTATACGAACAAATATCCTGAATCAGGGTCATTTTATTGTTTTGGAAGCAGTAAGCAGTCATTCAGATGGTTTTGAACAAAATTCATTAGGACAGAAGCAGGCCATAAAAGTGTCTCTAGCGCTCTGCTTATAATTATGTTTAGATTTGGAAAGATTTTATATAGACGCGTTTATGTTACACGAGATTCTCTATAGATCTCTGCAAATAATCATTTTTAGATTTAAGCAACTATATAGAAACCTTGTATGTTAAAAGCTTTATTCTAGATTTCTGCGGGTAAGAGCTTGCATTTTCAAAGTTTTCCTCTGGATCTCTGGGAAAGTAGATATCCCATATATGTGTGTTTTCATGAAATGAAAGCTCTTGAAAGAACAACATATTTATTGATATATAGCATGTTTAAATTGACATGATCATTTCCAGAGATCCAGAGGAAAGCTTTTGAAATGACAGCCTTTATATGCCTTTATATAGTTTTATTGTAGAAATGATCATCCACAGAGATCTAGAGGGAAGCTCTTGAATTAGAAGCTTGTACATAAAACAAATTCAATATGTCTATATTATTTCCAGTGATTACTGTAAACAAACAAAACCTAACTATTTACTTCAAAAAAGAGTTTTAGTCTTGTTCCCAGCACTCCCAGGGCAAACAAATACTGTAAAACACGGGGTTTTGTAGCATGTGTCTTCTTAAACTAAATAGACTAGTGACTAGAGCTAGAATAGAATTTGGTAGAATTAAATTGGATTTGAGTTAGAGCTAAGATAGAACTGAATTAAAACCGAATTTCAACTAAACTTGTATTGAACTATAACTAGACTATAACCTATTTAAAATTAGATGAGAGTTGAAGTAGAAAGGAATTGGAATTAAGATTAGAAGTTCGCCAGAATAAGATGTAAAACGCTTGAGCTACAAGATGCACAAGTCGAGGAGGCTTCGAAACTACAAAGCCGAAGCAAAAGCAACAAGCATTGAATTAGAACTACAGCTTACACAGATTCATAACAATTTCATGCAAATTGGAAGGTATCATTACAGTTTCATGTCAAGCTGATTGGACATGCATTTGGCCTCCACATTGATACCAATCAGAAGTTAATGCACAGATTTGTACATGGAGATTTCGACAAGGACAAAGGGGGTGGTGGGCTCAGACGCTTTCATTGTAAGAGCAAAGAACATATGCCTTTAGGTGAGACTTAGGCTCACATACTTGAAGGTTGAACGATATAGTAAGAACACAGATTGACCTAATAGGAAAACAAAAAACAAAAAACCTTGAGAAAACCAATAACTACCTAGGAAAAGCAAAAAACAACATAACATTGGGAAAGCCCAAACAAACACAAAAAAAACAAGATGGAACCCACGAACCCGAATGCAAACACGATCGAAAAACTAATATGTCCAAAGGACACTCTTGTAGGACACTCTTGCGGGACACTCTGTAGGACACTCTTGTAGCACACTCTTGTGGGTCACTCTTGTAGGAAACTCTTGTGGGACACTCTTGTAGGACACTCTTGTGGGACACTCTTATAGGACACTCTTGTGGGACACTCTTGTGGGACACTCTTGTAGGACACTCTTGTGGGACACTCTTGTAGGACACTCTTGTGGGACACTCTTGTGAGACACTCTTGTAGAACACTCTTGTGGGTCACTTGCAGGACACTCTTGTGGGAAACTCTTACACGACACTCTTGTAGGACACTCTTGTGGGACACTCTTGTTGGACACTCTTGTAGGACACTCTTGTCGGAAACTCTTGTGGGACACTCTTGTGGGACACTCTTTGGGACACTCTTGTGGGACACTCTTGTGGGACACTCTTGTAGGACACTCCTGTACGACACTCTTGTAGGACACTCTTGTGGGACACTCTGCGGGACACTCTTGTGGGACACTCTTGTGGGACACTCTTCTAGGACACTCTTGTGGGTCACTTGTAGGACACTCTTGTGGGATACTCCTGTAGGACACTCTTCTGGGACACTCTTATAGGAGACTCTTGTGGGACACTCTTGTGGGACACTCTTGTAGGACACTCTTGTGGGACACTCTTGTGGGACACTCTTGTGGGACACTCTTGTGGGACACTCTCGTGGGACACTCTTGTGGGACACTCTTGTGGGTCACTTGCAGGACACTCTTGTGGGACACTCTTAGGAAACTCTTGTGGGACACTCTTCTAGGACACTCTTGTGGGACACTCTTGTGGGACACTCTTGTAGGACACTCTTGTGAGACACTCTTGTAGAACACTTGTGTGGGTCACTTGCAGGACACTCTTGTGTGACACTCTTACACGACACTCTTGTAGGACACTCTTGTGGGACACTCTTGTAGGACACTCTTGTAGGAAACTCTTGTGGGACACTCTTGTGGGACACTCTTGTGGGACACTCTTATAGGACACTCTTGTGGGACACTCTTGTGGCACACTCTTGTAGGACACTCTTGTAGGACACTCTTGTGGGTCACTCTTGTAGGAAACTCTTGTGGGGCACTCTTGTAGGACACTCTTGTGGGACACTCTTGTGGGACACTCTTGTAGGACACTCTTGTGGGATACTCGTGTAGAACACTCTTAAGGGACACTCTTGTGAGACGCTCTAGTGGGACACTGTTGTGGGACAGTCTTGTAGGACACTCTTGTGGGACACTCTTGAGCGACACTCTTCTGGGACACTCTTGTAGGACACTCTTGTAGGACACTCTTGTGGGTCACTCTTGTGGGGCACTCTTGTGGGACACGCTTGTGGGACACTCTTCTGGGACACTCTTGTGGAACACTCTTGTGGGACACTCTTGTAGGACACTCTTGTGTGTCACTCTTGTAGGAGACTCTCGTGGGACACTCTTGTGGGACACTCTGTGGGACACTCTTGTGGGACTCCTTGTGGGACACTCTTGTAGGATACTTTGTGGGACACTCTTGTGGGACACTCTTGTAGGACACTCTTGTGGGATACTCCTGTAGGACACTCTTAAGGGACACTCTTGTGAGACACTCTAGTGGGACACTGTTGCGGGACACTCTTGTGGGACTCTCTTCCAGCTCCCCAGATACTCCGCATACTACAAGGTCGCCAGTTCTCAGCTTCCAGCTCCCCAGATACTCCACGTACTACAGTTGTACTACAAGGTCGCCAGTTCTCAGCTTCCAGCTCCACAGATTGCTCCGCGTACTCAAGTTGTACTACAAAGTCGCCAGTTCTCAGCTTCCAGCTCCACAGATTGCTCCGCGTACTAAAGTTGTACTACCAAGTCACCAGTTCTCATCTTCCAGCTCCCCAGATACCCCGCGTACTAAAGTTGTACTACAAAGTCGCCAGTGCTCGCCTGCATTTCGCGCGCTCGACACGCACGATCTCCGCAGAGGGTTGCGCGGGCACCGGACAAATCGCACTCTCGCCTGCATTTCGCGCACTCGACACGCACGATCTCCGCAGAGGGTTGCGCGCGCATGGGACAAATCGCACTCTCGCCTGCATTTCGCACACTCGACACGCACGATCTCCGCAGAGGGTTGCGCGTCAAGTCTCCAAAACGAGCGTTTCGTACGAGACTTCCTCAAAAACTCACACGTCCAAGTCTGCAAAACGAGCGTTTCGTACGAGACTTCCTCCAAACGTCAAGCGGAAACACCCATCGGAGCACACACATCACGCAGCCCTGCCAAGCAGTTTCGCGATTCCAGCCCCTCCAGACAACATCCGCTCACACGCCAATCCCAATGGGACAGCGACATTCACCTCTACCACAACTCACAACCTCACGATTCCCTGCGCCTGCCACGAATCTTTCCCCACCCACGCGTCTAACGCGCACAAAGTACTGCGCCTGCCACGAAATGTCACCTCCCTCACACCTCGCAACCTCACGATTCCCCGCGCCTGCCACGAGAATTGCACTTCCACGCTTCAAAGCCCGCACGAAGTCCTGCGCCTGCCACGAAAAGTGACAATATCATCGCGTGTGAGCTTCAACAAAATTTGCACCACACCACACGTTTGGAATGATTTCGACCCGTTCAGAGAACCCTCCCATCAATCAAAATCGCCATTTCAGCTGAGACTTGTCACGAAAACAGAGCTTCGATGCCACGCCCTGAAACGCAAATCCCAATGGCACGGCCACATCCAACACCCCAAAAACACGACTCTCCAAACGCTAATCCCAATGGAACTGCGGAGCACTCTGCCCATCTCACAAAACGCTGCACCTGTGCAGCGAACCGTATCACGTTTCTTGCGCGACATGTCCGTGTCACACAAATCACAATGGATTAGCGGCGCCAACTGACACGTGACACGTCCATGCAAAGTCACTTGCAAAAGCTTCCCCCAATGGCAGCAAATTTGAGACGCGACGACGACGACAGACGACGACAGACGACGACAGACGACGAGAGACGACGACACGACGCAAGCCACGCGAACACAGCTCCAACCCCCAGACCCCCAACTATAAACGGGAACCCTTCGCTACGCATTCGGGAACAAAAGAACCAAAAAAAGCAAATTCTGGGGAAGTCTTGAGGAAAGGGGGGGGGGGTCCAGCCAAGAGTCTCTGAGTCTATTTTTTTTGGTTTCTTTGTTTTTTTGGTTTTCCCAAGGTTTTTTGGCTTTTCCTAGTATGTTATTGGTTTTATCTATATTTTCTTGAGACTGTTTGTGTTTGTTTTCCAGTGCAAAGGACATTGAGGCAGCTTTCACAGACACATAGCATGAATGCAGGCCACAGTCAGTGGGAAGTTTATAGTACATAGATGGAAGTAGGCAGCAAAAACACATAAAATATGCACTCTGGTGGTCCCCTGTTCTGTAGAAAATCACTCAGGCCATCCTAGGTCACATGTTTGAATGCCCAGGGTATTTCCCTCTCCTTCCAAGGGGCAGACCGACACTTGCGACAACTTCCGCTGGGAGCCTGCCGAGGTGGACGAGCCAAACGTAGAGACATGGTTTCTGGGACAGACTGGCAAATCTCATCCAATCAAAGCCCACTGGCTTAGATATGCATTATAGATACTTCGTCCTCGAGAAACAATGCGTTGCGTTCTCTCGAGTCAGACGCCAAAAAAGATGTCCTGACACACAAGAAGCATGTTGATCCATGAGTCGTGTAAAAGTGCAACTCTCACATGGGCGCATCTTCTGCAGGACGCTTATTTGTACTTGCCGAATTCCAAGATCAGCTGTACCATGAACAACCTCACCATGGAGGTGGGCCCTGCGCGGCCTTTTGCCTGAGGATTTGGTGGAATGAAGTCTGTGCAGTTTGAGATTTAGGGGCTCCTGGCCCTACTACCAGGAGCAGGGACGTTACTAGGGGCTCCTGGCATCGGTACTAGGAGCAGGGACGCTACTAGGGGCTCCTGGCCTTACTACTAGGAGCAGGGACGCTAGCATCGCTACTAAGAGCAGGGACGCTACTATATAGGGGCTCCTGGCCTTACTACTAGGAGCAGGGACGCTACTAGGGGTTCCTGGCATCGCTACTAGGAGCAGGGGCGCTATTAGGGGCTCCAGGCCTTACTACTAGGCGCAGGGACGCTACTAGGGGCTCCTGGCCTTACTACTAGGAGTAGGGACGCTACTAGGGGCTCCTGGCATCGCTACTAGGAGCAGGGAGAACGGTCCAAGCGTCGCAGCCACACCCTCTCTGGAGTATGGTGAGTGAAAAAGAAAGGACACAGGTGGTCACACACATGTACACTAATTAGCAGCCATCGGCAACACGACATCCCACGTGTTCAATGGCCTCCCAGCACCGTTATCAAGGAGATGCACCAGCCGCAATCTTTCAATGCCGGACATGTAGACAGAAACACCAGCAATTATTCCCTTAGGGAATGCACAGCCACTGTATTTGTTGGTGGTCGCAATAAGATCGCCCGGCAGAATCTGAATATTGTCGAGACGAAGGGCCTGCTTCAACATTGAACGAACAACTACAATCAAATGATGGTAAAAGCTCACACCTGCATCTAGCTGCGTGTGAAGGTGACCCCTCCACCAAAATAGACATGCAAGTTCTGTTGTGGCCACACATGTATCATCTGAAAGCTTCCAACGGAGGTTTTGTAGGAACGTTCGGAAATGTCGCCAGTCATCCTCTGAGAAGCTCCACCGTGGCGGTGGGGTTTGCCGAGTAAAAATCTTGGGCTTCCAAGGGAATTGTGACAACTGAGCACCCCACGACCATTGAGGAAATCGTGACACCACTGATGCAGCATTGTCAGTAGAGATCTGAGGTGGTGACTGATACGTCGGAGATGGCTGCTTGAGTTCAAGGAGCCAATTCAACATAACTAACCACTCTTGTCGGCGTAATATGGCTTGCTCAATGACCTTCTGATCAGAAGGACGAACAGGTGCATGTTCTGTAGCTAACCGATTCGCTTCCCGATCGGCAATACGGTTGGCAAGAATATCACGTGACGTAGAGCCACATTCACGTGCAGCCGCCTCAGAAATAAGCTCTGCCGGTAGGTGCTCGAGGAGGTGACTTGGGATCCACGAGACAATGAAGGGGGCATTGCAAATCTCAAGGCGTAACGTCAAGACTCGGTAGATTTCACACCACCATTTTTGGTGCGACCAGCGTGGGTCAATCTGTCGAGTACGGCACAACTCATTAAATTGCTCGACAACGGATTGGCAGTCTGACCGAACATGTATTCTGCAGTGTGCTCGCTTGATGACCCGAAGAAGGGCAAACAACTCGGTTGTATAAGCCGAAAGTTCCCAATGTCGGACGGGTCCTGATTCAACGACCTGGAAGTGGCCATCGACGATGGCGTAAGCTCCGGTAGCCAACCAGAAGTAATTGCCCCATTGAACCGAACCATCGGTCCAAAAGTATTCGAACTGCTCAGGGTCGAAAAGCAATGATGTATCCCCGACCGGAGTAAGACCAAGCCTGTGAATGGCGATCTTCCTTGGGTGAGTGCACAGACCGAACGTGGAAAAGTTTTGCCCAAACTCATGGTCGGGGGGCTCCTGGCATCGCTACTAGGAGCAGGGATGTTACTAGGGGCTCCTGGCTTAGGAGCAAGGACGCTACTAGGGGCTCAGAAGCCAAAACACATCCGATCAACTTGGCCTGGGAAGTGTCATCGTCACAGATCTACGTTTTACAACACGGAAATGGGCTTCAGTTTTAGCCGCTGTACAGCACAAAAGACGCTTTCCTACTACCACTATGATGGGGCTGTCACGAAAGAAACGCAGGTTTAAGCTTTCTATTTTCATCCAGATCCCCACTTGCTGTTCTTCGCATTTTCTCGGAAGCCTTGCCTTTGCCACTGTTCAAACTATTTTACAACGTACTCTTTGTCGCGGCCTACCGCAGGTGCGCGAGCCGAAGAATGTCCCCGAGCTACGCACCATGATGCTCCGCCTCGACTCGCAGAACCCGGCAAAGACGCCACATGCACTTGGGCTATTTTGGGCTCAGTGGGGAGGGCTGAGCTGGGCTGAGCTGAGCTGGGGATGTTCATGGATGGACAGATGGATAACATTGGATAACTTACAGCAATTAGATCATTTGGATTCATTTGGATCATTGAAAGCGCCTGCTGTTCTCCCGCAGCTCGCGAATCGCTGGGAGAGGGTTTGGGGCAGGCACATTGTGTGCTAAGGTTATGCTGAATCACTGGAGCATCACACATTTATCCAATGGTGTGATAATGAGCACGGAGGCACGTGGCAGAATTTCAATGCGTTTGAGAATAGCGTTTTGGAAAAGATGATCGAGTCGAACAACTGAAAGAAACGCTTCCATATCTTCCATTTTTGAGTTGTATACAGTCATGTTAGGAGAGGAGACCATTTTGATACTCGGTCAAGACAATTGAATTTAGGGATCCCTTGCAGATAACTACAAACACATTGAAGCATCGGATGTATACTTTTCATTTCAATTGGGACAGATGCGTCAGATGCGCGAACAAGCACCCAAGGGTCTTGCAGTGCCAGGCTCTCTCCAGTTGGGATGTGGCAGGAGCCTCGGGACCACTCGATGCCGTCAGTCAAAAAAAGGACCCCCTTAGTGGATCAAACTAACAAGCTTGGAAGCCTTTACTACGGTGTTCACGAATCTGGGCTACCAAGAAACGGATCATTATGATTGGCAGAGCCTCCAGTCAGACGTCTAGCTCAGGAGGAGAGCACAAGTGGGTTTCCAATGGTTTCCATACTCTTTGTCTAATGAGAATGTAATCGTAGCCACCTGGCCTTGCTTGAAGAAACAAAAAGGTTAAGAGAGTCAAGAGTCGACAATCGCAGGGAAGAATGGAGGGAACATGTTTACTATGACCATCTATGACCATTGTGGCTGGAGCCCACAGCCAAATAAGATTGCTAGGTCTCGACCCATTTCAGTTTTGGAGAGTCTCAACCTGGGCACATTTGCAAGGTGCCCCAGCTGGCCAACGTGCGCGTGATGTTGGTGGGCCAGCAGAAAGCCGAGAATTCAGCTCCTTGGCAGTACAGGTTATGCAGCAGTGGGGCTCAACATTTTTCACGCGACATCTGCATACATTGAGCGCTTGAGATTCCAAAGCAACTTTCCTTTTCTGTTCAGGTAAGTTGATGAATTTGGTCCAGCAGTTTAGCCGAAAAGGATCTAGTGACTATAGCAGATCCGTCCAAGTTGAAAGCCACCAGAAGTTGCAGCAGAAAGGTCTCACCGGTTCGCTTCTAAACACTTAGAGTGCCTTCCAGAATGGAATTGACTAATTCCCCATGATATAATGTATATACATTTGACACGACTTCAGCTTGGCCGTTCACATCTCTGAGATCTCCAACATGGCGGTCTCCTTCCGACCGGTGTCAGATGCAGATGAGCTCACGCTGCAGGATCGAAGGGAGAGCATTTTGCGGGTCGACCCTCCAGACTTTGGACATCCTTGGACCATTTTTTTAAAGCTCGCCCTTTCTTACTTAAGAAGGCGACTACTTAATTAAGTAAGGGAACTTGTTCGTTCCTAGCTAGGATGCAGGATAGCTCACGCTAATTCAAGGAAACTCCCCCCCAGCTGAGGGGGGAGCGTCCTTGAAGAAGCGCTCGCAGTAGTGATTTGGTTGGTTCCTAGATTTTTAGGCACACTTATATAACCTTAGACCATTTACTGTAGACTCCAAATCTCAGAGATGGGCTGAACTGATTACAATGGTCTTTGTGGTTTCGAGCAACAGTCGTAAGGTTCAGAAATTGTGAGGCTTGGTATGGATTAGTAACGGTGGAACCTACATCCATTGAACGAGATCAATTTCTAGTGAGGTACAATATGCCAAAGACAACTTAAGCTCAGCTTAAGCTCTTCTCGTCCGAGTGGCGACCCTTGTGCCATAACGAAGATCAAAGCCGTCCAGTTTGAAGGACATCCACAGATGGCATTTTGTTGCATGACGAATAGACATCCCATTGGCTGGGTGCACCCAATCTTTCATGAGATGGACTCATCCATGGACTCACCCTTGCAAACATGAATCCAGGTGGAAAGTTGGTCTCCCACTTTCTTGATCCTGAGCGGGTGTATGTCACATTGATCACTTGCTTTACCAGCCCAGACGTTTTTGCAAGCTTTCTCATCTTGCTCCCTCGGATCTTTCCCAGAGTCGTTCAAACCCTGTCCAGCTATTATTGGGCTTTGCTTGATTATATATGTCAAGTGTGTATACATGTGTCACATGTGTCACATGGAGTCGGTTGGCCTTTGCTCGACTCCCTCGCTGAGACGATCGTAGGCCTTGCAGCCCACCGGCTTCGACTTCACTGGAGCGACTGCCATCTCCTTGGGCCATGAGGCGGACCGGTCGACAGGCTTTAAGGTTCGATGTGCAAGAGTTCTAGTTGTGTTGTCTTTTCTTCTTGTTCTGCTGTCCTTTCTCCCCCCCTTTTCAAACACATTCTCCAAGAGCATGGGGGTAGCCATCCCAAAACCAAAAGCAAACAAGGGTGCATTGACAATCGAGAACATACTTTGACATGCTGTTGAGACGAGAGCATGGGTGGGTGCTAGAAATCCGGTGTGGAGTTGCCGAGGGCCAGGCGGGATCAATACGTGCGTGCGGAATCCGCATGATGACCTGCATTTTGCGGATCAAGCCCAACCGATTGAAGCCGACCGGTGTTGCCCGACGAGAAGGACTGAGTTACTAATAAGCAAGCCACAACCACTCGAGTCATCTCGAGTCACTTGTGCATTGATTGATGAGAGACCTGCCAATGGGATGATTCAGGAGTGATACACTTGTATCATGACCACATGAACATTGATCACATGTGTTTAACATTGTTCAACGCCTAACTAAGCGGAACATTGCAGTGGTTGACGCAAGTCGCTCCGTTTGAGTTTCTGACGTGAAGGAGAGTGATGAGATTTGTCCATCGCCTTGGACGTGGTGCGCATCGCGCGAAGCAGTGCGGGCAGGGCTTCAGCACAGCAGTTCTTGAGGAGCGGCCAAGCTTTGTGAAGCCCCTGTTTTGGACGGGCATTGCGACCTCCCAAGTCAGTGACTGGCTTTGAAGCGGGAAATGCGGGTTTAACGGGATGCGCAGCTCCACCCCAAGCGGACTCGACATTGCGGCATAAACGATGCACCAGCCGATGCCGACCGATGCCTGCTGTACATGTTTGTGTCCATGGAAGAGCAACTTCCCCACAACTTGTACAACCACTATTGTATTCAATGCGTGCCTTCACTGTTGGCGTGCCAAGTTATGGCAAGCTTGATGCCGCCAACAAAGCTTGCTGAGGGTAACAAGTTGCCGAAACCTGCATAATCGATGGGGCCGACCCATTCTAGGCAATGTCCTTAGGCAAGAAACCAGATTTTGTGCGGATCTCATGTAAAATTAATACCATCTGCCGAAACACGTGACTCAGAGCTTAGCCCAGGCAATGGACACAGGCACGCAGGCAGGCGCGCACGCACACACACACACACACACACGTGCATGCGCCTGCAGCCACCCTCGACT